GAATAGAATAGAATAGAATAGAATAGAATAGAATAGAATAGAATAAAATATCTAATATAATGTAAATCAATGAAAAAATTTTAAATCCTCCTTCTTCTCATCCATCTTCACCTCTCTGATTCTACCCTTTCTCTCATTAGACCCTCATACTACTTATCCTTCTATTTTTACAATAATGGTCTTATGCAGTATTTGTCCTTATGAGATTTATTTGAGTCAGCATAACACTCTCTAGTCTCTTCCAAGTTACATAGTAGTTTTTTAAATCATTGCTCCTGAGTTCTATGTACGAATGGTGCTGACAAAACTGCAGTGCTACCTTCAGAAAACTGAAATAGGATACATATATCACACTGTACCAAAAAAAAAATAATCAACTCAAGTTTAATCAGAGACCTCCGGAATTAAGCTTCAATCTATCAATTTAGTAAGAGACAACAGGGACCAAACTTAGATGGCTCAGTCTATATTACAGCCTATACAGACACAAATCTGCAATGTGGAGAGAATAAAATAGATGAATGGGTCCTTCTAGAGGTTAAATCTCTATCTGCACTAGAATCTTTTCTTCCGATAGGGTGAAAAGATAACCTACCATCTGGGAAGGAATTACCTTATATTTAAATGTGAATGTAGTTCTAAGCCACACTATTGTTTGACATACTTGTCCAATACTGCACATGTTAATTTATTCATTTATATAATTCTAAAATGATGCTAGAAGGTGAAGAAAATTTAGTTGATGTATTACACAAAAGTGGCTTTGTAGTCAAATAAGTTTTAGATAAGACCTCAAACGTTGAGTATATAACTGTTAGAAAAATAGCAAGTTATGTGCCCTTACTCTCCTCTCAGTTGTGATACAGCTTGTAATTTATATAATAATGAGTCCATAGAGTTCAAAGACTTGTTGAAATTCCCTGGCATTACTGATTCTAGGTTGGTATGTGATAAATATAATAAGATATGGAATTGATGATGAGGCAATTATTCCTAAATTAGTTGTTAGGATATTATGAAAATTTGAATCTGAAATTATTTAAAGTATAAGACATATTGAAATTAAAGTTTATTCCATCATTTACCATTTGAAATAAATCCTTGGTATCCTTTTCCTTCTCTACATTTTAGTGACATACTTACATAATTAATAGCACTTAAAGAAGTTAACCTATGACATTTGCGCTTATTGGAACAGTTTGGGGGAAAAATGTATATTTGTTTTGGTCCTGTTTAAATTAAAATCATTCTCCCCACCCCACTTTGTCTTTCAGAACAACTTCAGAAAGAAAATGGTAAGATTCAGTGACCATCAGTTTGTGGTAATGCTGGGATCTTCTTACAGGAATTTTGGTTGTTTTCTTCCTCATTACCTTGTGCTGAATATATTTTGTGATTTTCTCTCTTTTAGATTTTATGCAGTCTTTTTACTAGCTGCTCTCTTCCTTATTTCTCTCCTTGCAATCTTTATCCATCAATGACATTTGATTTCTTGAGTTGTCCTTAGCCAATGTAGTGTGTCTTGTGATGGATCCATGCCAGTGCTTAGTGACTAGGAAACCTTCATTAGTAGATTAAAATCAAAATTTATAAGACATGCCTTTATGTGGCTAAACGGGCAAAGTAGCAAAGAATAGAACTTAATCTGAAACTTATATCTGTTGTCCTCAAAATGGTTCAATACAGAAAGATTTTAAGAAACAACATATGATCAAAAGGCAATAGTCCTTTCGTGGGACCTGCTCCTCTTGTGAGATGTGCTTTTGGGGGACAATCCCTTCACTCTGCTGCAAGAACCAAGGCTTATGTGGCATGGTGGGCCTCAGATCATCATCCAGCAAGTGCTAAAGGCTGCAGTTAAGTCCAGGAACACTCACACCCTGGACAGTGACAAAACCACTGCCTTCCAGATTGAGGGGTGCAGTTTTACACCTCAATCCTACCCAGAGCACTAGACCATTGGTTGGCTGTCTGAAGATCACAGTGCCCATCCACCTGCAGATTGCCCAGCTGTCAAGCATCAGGAGCATCAATGCCTTAGTAGTAGAGTAATATTATGAAGACTTATATCCACAAATAAATTAAAGTTTATCCATAA